TCTGCTGTGTCCCTTGGCCACCTCCAGGGGTGACCTTGCCTGCCTGCTAGCCTCTCCTGGTTTCACCTTCTTGTGCACACTGCAGGCCAGTGTGGGCAGCCCTCAGCTATGGGGAGCAGCACATAGAAGGAGCCGTGCTGTGCCCACTCAGTGGGGCATGGGGCGTGAGTGTTTCTCAAGTGATGGGCTCAGGGGTCCCACCGCTGGCCTCACCTCCCGTTGTCCTGTCTTGTCCCTGTAGGCAGTATGACGTGCGCTGCAGGCAGCTGGAGGAGCCGCAGCTCCAGGACCAGCGGCAGCAGCAGCAGTGCCCGGCTGGCGCCCACCTCCGCTCATGAGCAGGCTGGGGACACCCACCACCCCACTCCCGGTAGGTGGCGGGACATTCCCTCCCTCCCAATTCCTCACTGGAAGGACCTGGCCTCTTCCAGGAATGAGGAGCTCCTGGCCTTGCACCAAGACTCGCAAACTCCAGGGTACGGGGGCTGGAAAGGCCCGGGCTCCACGGCCTGGCCCCTCATTCCACAGATGGGGGCCCCAGCTCCCTGGCCCCGGCTGTCACATCCCTTAGGGAGCCTCTTTCCTGTGTCCCGACACCGTGGCTCCTGCTGGCGCCTCTCAAGTGTCTCTCCATGCAGGCCGAGCCCGAGCTTGAATGGGAACCCTAGGGGGAGAGGCCCCGGGCTCACTCAGAAGGCTCTGGGCTGGAAATTGAGAACACTGCCCAAGTGGGGTCCTCTGGCCCCCCACCCAGACCTGCGCTGCCTACAGCCATAGTGGGGGGAGCACCTTCCTGGTTCATCACCCCATGGCTGTCCATGGTGAGCATCCCTGAGCTATCACCTCTTAACCTGGCTGGCCATGGCTNTGCTTTTGGCTGCTGTCAACTCTGAGTGTCAGTCATGGTTCTGTTCCCCCTCAGGAACCCCTTTTCCCCACCACTGCTTTTGAGATAAGGAGTTTCAAGACTTAGGGGGATTTAAACCCCACCATCTTATAAACACAGCAGGAGGAGGTCAGTCTCAGGATCTCTCCCTGTGTCCCCGGGACCTGCCCCTGCATTCTCGTCTAAATGAAGGTCTCTAATCTCATAGCCTTTCCTTCCCTTTCCAGAAAAAAGTGAACCCCAACCTTCCCATCACCATCAAGCCCAGCAACAGAGTCCAGAAGCTCCTGGAGGAGCGGCTGAGAAGCGGAGGCTCCTGCAAGAGTAGGCTGGAGGAGATGCGGTGCTGGCACGTGGAGATGAGGTGCCACCACCATGGGCTGTCCTTGTGTCCCCCGCCAGCCTTGACAGGGAAGGAGCAGATCCACCATCTTCTGTGGCCAGGAGCGGCTTGGGATCAAACCCTCACCCTCCACCCACATTGGGGGCCTGCTTGGTGGCTTCCAGGCATGGGGAAGGGACTGTTAATCACACATGCAATGAGCAGCCCATGCTATCCTAGTTGTTGGAGAGAGAGGGGGTTTTAGTGCTGAGCTCAAAGTCATTCTGAGGGGTCCTGTTACTGCCGCAGTGATGTGATAAAAGTAGAGGTGGGAGGCACTCCCTGCACATTCACGGACACTGGCTACTGCAGAGATACCTGGCATCCACTGTGCCCCAATGGCTGGCATCTGCTATGTCCCCAGCCTCTGGGGTCCACTGTGTCCCCAACCTCTGGTGTCTGCTGTGTCCCCTGATCCCTGGCATCTGCTGTGTCCCTTGGCCACCTCCAGGGGTGACCTTGCCTGCCTGCTAGCCTCTCCTGGTCTCACCTTCCATGTGCACACTGCAGGCCAGTGTGGGCAGCCCTCAGCTATGGGGAGCAGCACATAGAAGGAGCCGTGCTCTGCCCACTCAGTGGGGCATGGGGCATGAGTGTTTCTCAAGTGATGGGCTCAGGGGTCCCACCGCTGGCCTCACCTCCCGTTGTCCTGTCTCGTCCCTGTAGGCAGTACGACGTGCACTGCAGGCAGCTGGAGGAGCCGCAGCTCCAGGACCAGCGGCAGCNAAAGGCCCGGGCTCCACGGCCTGGCCCCTCATTCCACAGATGGGGGCCCCAGCTCCCTGGCTCCGGCTGTCACATCCCTTAGGGAGCCTCTTTCCTGTGTCCCGACACCGTGGCTCCTGCTGGCGCCTCTCAAGTGTCTCTCCACGCAGGCCGAGCCCGAGCTTGAATGGGAACCCTAGGGGGAGAGGCCCCGGGCTCACTCAGAAGGCTCTGGGCTGGAAATTAAGAACACTGCCCAAGTGGAGTCCTCTGGCCCCCTTCCCAGACCTGCGCTGCCTACAGCCGTAGTGGGGGGAGCACCTTCCTGGTTCATCACTCCATGGCTGTCCATGGTGAGCATCCCTGAGCTATCACCTCTTAACCTGGCTGGCCATGGCTACCTGCCTGCCTGCCCCTCACTCCTCAAAGCCAGCCTGGCCCCATGGCCCCCCTCAAGTCCTCCCACTACTGTGGGTGCTGTTTGCCACCTCAATATAACTGTCTTGTCCCCTGCCCCCTCCCGATCCCCAAGACCCCTCCACTCACATTGACTGCGCTGCCTCTCCCCACAGCCTGGGTGATGGCCAGAGTTCAGCAATGACCAGCATGTCATGTGTAGGCACGCCACCATCTACCCCATGGAGCAGGAGCTCCTGGCCGTCCAGAAGGCTGTGTCCCACGCAGAGCCGTTCCCCAAGCTGGTGTCCAACAAGCCGGTCCAGGAGAACTGCAGAAACCAGGAGG